CAAGAGGAGGAGGGGCTATAACAAGGGGGAGGAGCTAAAACCAGGAGGGGAGGAGTCAACCCGGGGGGGCTACGGCAGGGCTAGGCCAAAAGAGGAGGGGCTATGGCAAGAAGAGGTGGGGCTTCAGAAAAGGGGTGGGTCTTCAACAAGGGGGAGTTTATACCAGCAGGAGGCGGGGCTTCACCCAGAGGGGGTGGGGCTTCCCAAAGGGGGCAGGGCCAGTCATGTCTGAGGGTGGGGCCAAGGGGGCTTGGAGGCGGGGCTCCCCATCTCCCCCTCCACCCCCCTGCCCTTACCATCTGTATTGATTGGCTTAGCCCCATCAGGTGGGGCCCGAGCGAGCCCTCCCATTGGCTGGGCATAGGTGGCCAGCAGGAGCCGATAGGCCGGGTTGGCAAGGGGTGCTGCTGCGGGGGGTGGGATTAGTTGAGGGGGTGGGGCCAGGAGGTTCTGCTTCCCAGTGCAGGAGGACGGGGGTTGGATGGACTCTGGCATGCGTGGTGGCCATGTGGTCTCCATCCATCTACCCGTCCGTCCATCCGTCCACGTGGTCCTCATCAACCTCCACGTGGTGTCCATCCACCCGCTCCTCCCTCCCTCCATCCCCGTGATGGTCTCCATTCCCTCCCTCCCCACTTCCCCACGTTGTCTCCGTCCATCCAGGTCTCTCTCCATCCATCCCTCCCCACACAGTCTTCATCCATACATCTCTCCATTCATCCACTCATGCATATGTAATTTGCATCCATCCATCCCTCTATCCATCCACCCATCCAAGTTGTCTCCATCTTCCTCCACGTGGTCTCCATCCATCCATCCATCCACCTCTTGATCCATCCATCTCTCCATCCCTCTGCCCAGCCCTTCCTCCACCCATCCATCACTCCTCTACAGTCTCTCACCGTCCCTTCTTCCATCCACCCATCCACCCATCCCCATGTGGTCTCCATCCATCCACCCATCCATCCATCCATCTCTTGATCCATCCATCTCTCCATCCCTCCACCCAGCCCTTCCTCCACCCATCCATCACTCCTCCATGGTCTCCCACCATCCCTTCCTCCATCCACCCATCTCCATGTGGTCTCCATCCATCCATCCATCAATCCATCTCTTGATCCATCCATTTCTCCATCCATCACTCCTCTATGGTCTTCCACCATCCCTTCTTCCATCCATCCATCCATCCCTTCCTCTCTTCTCCACTCACCGGGTCCAGGGGGGGCCGGAGGCAGCGATGGCCGTGGCCGTGTCGGCTCCTGGTACTCGCCTTGGCCCGGGGGGATGCGCTCATAGCGGGGGGGTCCCCGTGCCACCCCGGTTGCATTGTTGATGACGATGGTGTCACCTGGCACCGAGAGCTGCACCCGCAGCTCGTCCTCTGAGGGCCGGCGCTGGGCCTGTGGGCAGGACCCTCAGATGGACCCAAGCATCCAGGTGCCCAGTTGACCCCACCACCCTCCCAGAGCCTGGGCACTGGACCCAGATGTCTGGGTGCCCAGCTCCTCCCAGTTGACCCCACCACCCTCCCAGAGCCTGGGCACTGGACCCAGATGTCTGGGTGCCCAGCTCCTCCCAGTTGACCCCACCACCCTCCCAGAGCCTGGGCACTGGACCCAGATGTCTGGGTGCCCAGCTCCTCCCAGTTGACCCCACTACCCCGCTCACCTTCCCCAGTATTTTCTTCCAGTACTGCCGCCAGAGGATGAGGAAGATGACGCCCAATAGGAGCAAGATGATGGCCACTAGGCAGCCAATCAGGATGGACGTGTGGCTGTGGTCAGCTTTGGCAACTGGCTGCCCTGGCTTGGGTTCCCCGGGGGCTGCCATGGGGGGTGGTGGTTGGCAGGGTGCTGTTATGGCCCCGCCCCCTCAGATCCCACCCTGTTAAGCCCTGCCCCATTAAGCCCGGCCTTACCCAAGGTAGTGAGGTTGGTAGCCATGTCTCCATGCCAGGAATCCTCAGGGACAGCCATGACCCCTGCCGAGGGGTCGGCGGGGGCAGCTGGGGGCCACCCACTGGCCCCCACTGCCTCCTCCACCGCGTCTGTGGGGAGAGAGCCCCATGATGCTTTAATGAGCTAGTTAACGAGGGCGGGACAATGGCCAGGGCTTCCAACCCATTGATCAACCCGCTCAAACAAACTGCCTTCCCATTGGCTCACAGGGTGGTTGACCCCCAACCAACCAATCACTCAACCAGCTTTGACTTAATCCAAGCAACTAGTTAAGCAACCAAACGTTAACCAACTGGCCAGCCAACCTGTCCTCCAACTCACCAACCAATCATGTGATGACTCAAACATTGAACATGTCACCCCATCCTCCAACTAACTAGTCAACAGGCAACCAGCTGATCACCCTTGGACTGGTTAACCAACTGACAATCCAGTCCTGCATCCAGCCAACCACCCCACCACTCAATCAGCTCAGTAGTCAACCAGCTAACTGACCAATTTCACAACCAGCCCTTAGACTGGTCAACCAGCATCCAACTAGCCAACCTCCCTGATACCCAACCAACCTGCCCATCACCCAACTAACCACCCCATCATCTAACCAATGATCCCATCACCAAACCAACTACCCCATCACCCAACTAACCACCCCATCATCCAACCACCCACCCCAATACCCAACTAACCACCCCATCATCCAACCAACTACCCCATCATCTAACCAACGACCCCATCATCCAGCCAACAACCCCATCACCCATCTAACCACCCTACCACCCACCCAACTACCCCATTACCCAACTAACCACCCCATCACCCAAACAATGACCCCTTCACCCAACCAACCACCCCATCACCCAAGTGTCCAACACTAGAGCCAATCCGTTGGGGGAGGATGCCAAGCCCCAGGTAGGTCTGGAGGTGGCCTGACATGGCCGGACTCACCCGAGACGAAGGTGATCTCACTGAAGAGCATCCACTCCCCGGTGAAGAAGAAGTGACACTGGATGAAGCGGGCCTGGCGCCCACCCAAGGACACTGTGACTGAACGGGCGCTGGGGTCCTTGACAGCCCCAGCCAGGCTGTGGGTGGCCGGGGTGGGCTCCCAGGCCGTGGCCAGGCTCCTCTTGAAGCGGCACTCCACCTCCCCGAAGATGCTCACCCCCCGCGTGTGCATGTTGTTGCAATGAACCTGGGGGGTGAGGGGTGTTGGCCGCCATCCCATGATGCCCTGGAGCAGCTGGGGTGAGGCTAAGCCAACAGGTCCCCAGTGGGAAGATCCAGACCCTAAGGTGGGGTTGACATGGTGGCCCCTTATGGGTCCATGCCATGGCCGACCAATCCCACAATTCCTGGGGCAGACCCCTTGCCCAAACCCCCATGATGCCCCGGGCCACCCATCGTCCTCAATCCCATGATCCCCTGGGGGACCCCATTGCACACCATCCCCTGCTCCCCAGCTCCCCCCCCCTCCCCAAAATGCCCTAGGCCACTCGTATTTCCACCCTCCCACCATGCCTCATGCCCCCCCTGCTATCCCAGCATGCCGCGGGGCACCTGCATGGCGTGGAAGGTCCGGAGCCCCTCGAACTCGAACTCCAGCTCCACGTGGGGTCGGGGGCCGGGGGGCCGACGCCATCCCACGTAGTCGTAGCCCGGCCAAAGACGTCGCTCACGGCTCCGCACAAAGTCATCCAGTCCCAGCACCCCATCCGCCAACTGGCCCAGCCCCCCAAACTGCAGCCTGGGTGGGACAGGGGACACCCCGACACCTTGGTCCCCCCATCCCACCCACCTGGGAACCCCCTGTGGGGCAGCCTGGGGCTGTGGGTGACACCCAGATGCTTGTGTCCCTCGGTCCCACCCAGCTGGGTCCCTCCCCATGGGACCTAGAGCACAATTTAGGGGCAATTGAGGCTGTTTTGGGGACATTGGGGAAAACTGGGGCCAGATGGGACAATCTGGGAACAGTCTGAGGCTCTTTTGGGACAGTGGGTGACTGTTTTGGGCCAACAGGTGACAATCTGGGGATAGTTTGGGCTAGTTGGGGACAGTTGGGGACAGCAGGGAACAGTTGGAGCGGTTTTGAGCCAGTGGTTGACCATCTGGGGACACTTTGGGGTCATCTAGGGACAGTGGTGGATGATTGGGGACAATTTGGGGACAGTCGGAGCCTGTCTGGAGATCTTTGGGACAGCGGGGGATGGCCAAGGGCCATTTGGGGACACTTGGGGACAGCTGGAGACACCTGGGGAGGTTCAGAAACAGTCTGGGGGCACTTGGGGATGGTTTGGGGACACTTGGAGATGGCCAAGGCTGGCTGTGGACACCTGGGGACAGTTTGAAGACCACTGGGGACCACTAGAGAGGTCCAGGGACAGTCTGGGGACAGTTTGGGTACATTTGGGGATGGTTTGGGGCTACCTGGGGCCAATTTGGGAGCTCTTGGGACTGGGGCAGGTGACAGTTGGAGACATCTGGGTACTCACGGGCCAACGCTGTATCCGTCGTAGGTGGAGTCGTTGAGGACAACAGGCGCCGGGTCGAGGGCCATCACCTGTCCCCGTGGTGCCGTGTAGGACAGGAGCCCGGCTGGGGACAGGGAACACATCACCATGGGGCCACCATGGGGTTGAGTGGGGGACATGGGGATGGAGGACCACCACCCTGGGGACACCCTTGGGGTTTGAAATGGGGTGGCACTGGGGGGTGATGGGGTGGGTTGGAGGTGGCACAGGGTGACAGGGAGGTGACAAGGGGGTGACAAGGTGGCACTCACCCTCCCATGGACAGCCGTAAAGCTCCAGGCGCAGGCAGACACTCATGGCACGGGGGGCCCGGGGGTAGACCCGCAGCGCCCGCGCCACAGGGGGGGGTGCCAGATCCTTCAGCACCACCCCCTCGGGGTCCTCGTTACCCCCGATCACCTGCGTCACCAGGATCTGCTGGGATCCCCGGGGACACAGGTCCCACCGCCGGGGACCTCCCCGGTGACTCCATGGGATCCCTGTCCCCCCATGAGCCCGGGGATTCCTAGGGATCTCCAGGGATCCCACCACCGTCCAAGGTCGCCAAGATCCCCCCAAGGTCCCCAGTCACCTCAGCACCCCAACATCCCCAAGATGTCCCCAAGATTCCCAGTCAACTTGGCACCCCAACACCTCCAAGGTGTCCTCAAGGCCCTTAGGCACCTTGGCACCCCAACATCTCCAACATTCCCAAGATGTCCCCAGGGTCCCTGGTCATCTCAGCACCCCAACATTCCCGAGATGTCCTCAATGTCCCCAGTCACCTCAGCACCCCAACATCTCCAAGGTCCCCAAGATGTCCCCAGGGTCCCTGGTCATCTCAGCACCCCAACATTCCCGAGATGTCCTCAATGTCCCCAGTCACCTCAGCACCCCAACATCTCCAAGGTCCCCAAGATGTCCCCAAGGTCCCCGGTCACCTCAGCGCCCCATCGGTCGCGCCAGCGCAGCCAGCGGTGCCGGTCACGGCTGTAGCGCAGCCGGTAGGCACGGGCAAACTCCCTGCCATGGCCACCGGCGTGACGTCCCTGTGTCCCCACCAGTGTCACCACGTGCAGCCGACCCAGGTCCACCTCCAGGAACTCCTCTTCCTCTGGGAAGACGGGACCCGCGGGACACCAGGCACCATCCCCATCGCTGCGACCCAGCCTGGGGGACAGGGGGACATCCTGGGGACACCGGGGACGTGGGGATGCCTGGGGGCACTAGGTGCTGTCACCATCTCTGTGGCCCAGGATGGGGACATGGGGATGTTGTGGGGATGTGGGGGCTCCTGGGAACACCCAGAGGACATGGGGACATCCTAGGGACACCCAGGGTGCATGGGGATGCTAGAAGGACATGGGGACATCATGGGGACACCCAGGGGACATGGGGACACCTGGGGAACATGGGGATATTCAGCAAATGGGGACATCCTGGGGATACCTGGAGGAACACAAGGACATTGTGGGGACACCCAGTGACATGGGAACACCCAGGAGGACAGAGGGGCTTGGGACACCCACAGGCATGGGGACACCTGAGGTTACAGGGACATCCAGGGGACATGGGGACACCCAGGGGACCCTGGATGGCACAGGACAGTGTTGGGGGACACACTGGGTCATACTGGGACTCCCTGGCCACAGTGGACAGCGGTGGCTCTGCAGTGGGGACATTGGGGAGCCCTGGGAGGGGATGCTGGGCAGGGGGGAAGGGGGAGTACTGGGCCATACTGGTGTGTACTGGTGTATACTGGTGCGTACTGGGCTCACCGGCCGTGGCGGGCGGCAGTGGAGTCAGACCAGGCGCTGGAGGCCGAGAGGCGGCTGTCGGGGATGGAGCCGTCCTCCATGCCCAGGGCAAAGCGGCACCTGCCTGGGGGACATGGGGGACGTTGGGGACACGGGGGACACTGGGGACATGGGGGACACAGGGAGAAATGGGGATGTGGGGGACATTGGGGACGTGGGGGGACATCGGGACATGGGGGGGACATGAAGGAGGGATACACGGGGCTCACGGCAGATGCACCAGCCTCCTCCCCTGCAGACCCCCTATGCAGCCCCTATACAGCCCCTATAGAGCCGACCCACCCCACAGAGCCGCTATAGGGCACCCACAGCCCCACGGGGCCCCTACCCACCCCCTACAGCTCTCCCCCCCCATAGGAACCCTATAGACCCCATAGGGGACCCAGAGGCTCCCATACGGTCTCACCCAGGTCGAGGTGCCCATCGAGCTGCAGCCCGGACGCCTGGGTCCCCGCAGCCAGCAGCAGGAGGGGGAGGGGCAGGGGGAAGACCCCCATGGTGGCCCCAGCCCCCCCCCGGTAACCGTACCTGGGGACAGTGAGGGGACACTGGGAGTCATTGGGAGGCACTGGGACGACTGGAGTGGGGACTGGGAGGGAACTGGGAGGATGGAGAGGGGAGCTGGGAGCACTGGGAGGAGGGGGGTGGGGACTGAGAGGAAACTGGGAGGACTGGGAGGGGAACTGGGGGCACTGGGATAGGGACTGGGGGCACTGGAAGGGGAACTGGGAGGACTGGGAGGACTGGGAGGGCCCCATCCCAGCAGCTGCTCCCACAATGCATTGCTGGAATGTGCCCCCCCCCAGCTGCTGCAGCCTGATGGGAAACAGCAGCTGGGGGCGGCGGGGCCTGGACGCCTGGGCCCCCCCCGGGCGGGTTCCCACCCCCTCCCCCACACCCAGAGGGGACCCCGGCATCAGGGACCACCCTGGTGTCACCCCAGCACGGGACACGCCACGGAGCGCGACCGGGACACGCCACACACCGTAACACGTAACATGCGATAACACGTAACAACGCGTGATAACATGTGACAACGTGTGATAACATGCGGTAACACGTAACAACGCGCGATAACACCAACATGCGATAGCATGTAACAACACACAATAACACATAACAACATGTGATAACGTGCAATAACACGTTACAACGCACAATAACATGTAACAACATGTGATAACATGCAATAACATGCAACAGCATGGAATAACACACTACAACATGCAATAACATGCAACATACAACAACACACAACATGCAATGACACACACCACCACACAATAACACACAAGAACATGCAATAACATGTAACAAAATGCAATGACACACAATCCCAACACGCAATAACCTATAACCCCAACACATGCAACATGCAGTGACATGCAACGACACGCAATGAAATGCAGTAACAGACAATACACACAACATGCAATAACATATGACCCCAAGACACACAACAACATGCCATGACACTGCATGACACGCCTCATCATGCCATGACACACACCTGGGGGCTGCTCCGGGGCGGGATCAGGCCCTGACTCCTCCCTGGGGTCCCGCGGGTGGCACCTATGGGAGCACCTATAGATCTTGGCCCTATAGATGCCCGGCTCTGCGTGCACATGTGTGCAGTGTATACATGTGCATAGACACACGTATATATACCCTGACCTGAATGTACGTGTATGTATAGAAACATATATAGTGTGTATATGCACATATATCCCTATAACACACCCATAAAGTGCTACACGTGTGTGCGTGCTTATATACATCCATATAGAGTCACCTATATGCATCTGTGGACTTAGACATGTATGCAGTATGCAGTTATACATATATGTTCATATACACATACATACAAGCACACATATATGTTCACCTACACATACATACACATTTACACATCTACGCACACAAATATATGTGTATATACGTGTATATATATCTAGATTCATATACACACACACACATATATATCCACTGGATTACATAAATATGCACCCCATATACATGCTCATATAGACACGTATGTGCTCACATGCATTAAGCAGTCCACTATACATTAGCCGTAAGCATGTATATGTTTGTGGATTAACTGGATGTGCACATCACAGGTGTGTATATATGTATGTATGTTAGATGTAGGTCCCCATATACATGCATAGTCACGTGTGTATGTATATGTATACACTTATATATGTGCACATACATATACAATACACATAACTATATGTGCACCTATATATTTACACACATATATGCACATATATTTATACATCATACACACAACTATATGCATGCATATATATTTACACACATATATGCACATATATATAATACACATAACTATATGTGCACATATATTTACATGCATATATGCATATATGTACGTATACAGCCACGCACATATGTGGTTACCATCTATATCCGTATACATCCACCTAACTATGTAGAACTAGATGCCATACACATGTCTATATTTGCACATATATACTGGGAAACCCATTATATTCCTATACGCCTGCCTTTTGAATGCGTGTATACGTGCATGCGTGCACCTATAGCTTCATGTATACACCTCTATACATTGTATATGATGCAGTCTGCCTCGCACCACATATGGCACATATATACACATATAGAGAGGGCTGTGGATAAAGGGACATATAGGGTTCCCCTATATCATACATAAACCTATACAGCCCCATGTGACAGCATTGTATAGAAGCTGTGTACATCCATGGGGCCATAGGGACGTGAAGAGCGGGGGGGTTATGGGGTATTTAAGGTGCTATATAGGTGCCCCCTGCCTATACCACCCCGTGCATATAGAGGTCATAGGGTTCAACACTGTACATATGGGGAGAAGAGAGGCTCCAGAGTTTAACACTCCAGGTCTATAGGTGCCCCTAGACTTATAGGTGCCCCATAGGTCTATTGTGTGCTATATGGGGCGATATGGCGGGAGCCTATAGGGCAGCGGTGAGTTCTACGAGGGTCGGTATATGGGGGTATAGGGCCATATATGGGGCTTCTCCCTATAGGTCCCTCTAGTGCCACAGGGCAGGTAAAGGGGTCACCTATAGATCCTATAGGTGCCACTCTAAGGAAGACTGGAGAGAGATCCTATAGGGCTGATGCCTCTGTGGGCATCGTGTGCTGCTCCAGGCCCCCCCAAATTCCCCCCAGCTCCCCCTAAGTGCCCCCAATCCCCCCTAAGTGCCCC